GCTGATCTCGCTCCTTTTCATCCTGGACGGCTACGGTGCTTCTTCTGTAGCCCCTCGTCATTCCGCGGTGATGGATCTCTCAGCAAATTCTCTCAATCCCAATAAACGCCTCAAAGAAGAGTAAGATATTCTGTGATCTTAGCCCCCCCAACACACACACACTAGTCCGTCTTTTATTTCCTCGTCGAGCTGCTCACTGTGATTTCTCTAAATCATTTACTCTTTTACAGTTTCGTGAGCAACCTCACTGGGTCCCACTGCACTGTGGGTATTAAGTGACAAGAGAAGTGCCTTGCTAGGACTATTTGATAGGAGAATATTGTGGAGGATTAAAGTTAATTTTTTTTTTTTTAATTTGAACTGCTATGTTTTATGGATTGAAGTGCTGGGTGATAAAGAGGTACAGTTAGGTAAGTGTAGTGTAACAAAATGAGAATGTTAAGATAATGGCTCTTAAGAGGGACTACTGGGGGTAGCGCCCATTGAAGGTAAGGTAATTAATATAGACTTAAGTGATTTGGACATGTACAATAGTGGATAAAAGACATGATATAGAATGAAACGAGTAAAATTAATGGTAAAGAATTCAAGTACATATAAGGTAATATGGATGGAATTTGTGCAAAAGAAATTTAGCAAAATATATTCAGCACCTAAAGCCACAACAAACTTTCATAGTACTGACATCTAATAGTTGCTATAAGTCATAAGCAAACATATATGATGCAACATCTTTAACTTATTCCACATTCTCTTAAAAGAAAGAAATCTATTACATAAATAAATTGCAAGGTTATGAAACCACAAACTTGATACTACCCAGACCATATAGTTAAAATCATTGATTAAATCCATCAGCATGCTAAGAGTTTCATTATTTTCCTTACATCACTAACAACTCAAGGACGGTGCATGCGTGCCTTGCATAATTAAAGCCGTAGGATACTTTTAGTACCTATAGTGTTTATATATTATATAATTTAAACCGTATGATACTAATGCATTCATGACAAATGTGTTTTGATCCCTTGAGTTTATTTGAGAAAATCATTTTTGGGACCAAATTATGCGATTTTTACCACTTTGCAGGCCTTGCTAGTACCAACATTTTTGTTAGAAAGATGAATGATAGAGAAACTTCAAAATGTAAGGATTTGAGGAGTTCTACGCTTGAGTTGGCAAAGGATTTTGCCATTGTTATTGTGCCAGTAATTTTGGTTTTTACCGTAAGTGCACTCTTCTCTTATTTTAGAATAGACTGTCTTATTGATTTGTACTGTAATATAACTTTATAACACATTAAGCATATCTTCATTACAACTGGTAATAGTATCAAAGTGATTGATAAGCATGAATGTTGAAACTTTTATGCTATTTCTTTGTACATTGTTCCATATAAAAACAAAATTAGCCATGGATAATTGATATATTGATAACCGACTTTAATTTGCTTTTATGGTTTCAGAATGCTCAGAGTTATGGTTATTAAGTTATATAGGAATAAGCTTGTAATTAGATCAGTGAAAAAACAAGTTTGCTCCAAAGAAGAGACGATGGTAATAAGCAATGAAGGTGAGGAAGCTTTTAGCTCTTTGATGTAATCATATATTATAATAAAATTAAACTATAACTAACGTCATAAAGGATGGAAGAATTAAGGTAGAAATTGGCCTCATCAATTTACAGCATGCTATGGCATGAATGCAAGAATTAAATCCTATACGCATTCGGTAATAAGAATTGGTGGACATGGCTAAGCGTGACAATAGTGAGAGGAATGGCAGTGGACAACTAACTGCAGGCATGCAGGTTGGTGGGAGGCAAACTGGCGGGTAGTTGGTGCTATTGCTAAATCAAGATTTCACCTGTGACTATATTATTACATAGTTACCCTAAAGTGGCTTTTATAGCTTCTCTTTTAGATGTTTACTGTAACAGTTTTAACCTTCATTTGTCTTTGATTATAGGTACCCCATTTCTTTAGCTCTTATGTTAGATTCCCTATCTCTCATCTAGTGTCCTTATTTGTTAAATTGTTTATATTTCTATGGGGTTTCTTTATTAGGTGATTCTTGAGATTTTATATTTACGGTCGGGTAGCCGGACAATAGCAACTTTTGTTTCCTATGAGTTCATTGTTACAATCACTTTTTGCGACTGTAGCATGTTAGTTGTGGAAGTACAACAGGTATTGTGTGGGTTGTAGTTTGGTTGTGGCTTCTTTAGTTAAATCCTCTTTTGTTGCTTCCTTGGATGATTTTTTAATTCTTATTCGCTATTCCATGAGATTTTTAAATAATGGTTAATTATGTAAATCTCTCTCCTTCAGGGATTCAGTTCCTTGACAGAGCATGAGAGGCTACTTTTTTGTACAAGCATGAGTCATGATTTTCTAGTGATTTCTTCCTCCTTAATCATGTTTGTTTTCAATTGAAAGTACGATTGAATTTGGCTAGGTTTGCTACTTGGTTCTCTTTCTTTTCATGAAATTTCAATACTGTGAGTTGTTGTTGTGGCTCCATATTTTCTTATTACTAATTAGCAATATGCCACACAACTTCCATCCTTTTTGGATTTTGTTTAACTTTTTTGTGTTCATTGAATGTGGTAAATAGTTGTTTAAGATTAATTGCTTTTGTCCCGTGAAATATCCGGTTTTGTTGTGTTTTTTGGCTCTAAATCTCTATAGTGGCAGCCCCCTCTCCATCCTCTTCCACCACTTGAGCTCTCTTGAAGACCTCCAAAATATTAGCTTCCTGCTTCAAAGTTCACTGAATCACTGTTGAGATCTTCTAATTCTCCTTATGCCTGTCATCATCGGATCTTTGATGTCCTTCCCAAATTTTTTATTACAAAAAGAGATTCTTCCTAGGATAATAGAAACTACACCAAAGAACACAAAATGTGACAATTGAACTAAAAAAATTTCACTTTAGTATAAAAGACTTACAAACGACACATAAACAAGTTACAAACTTTGACATAAACACCTTACAAACTTGGAAACATTAAGACTCCTAAAATTGCTTGCTAATCGTTGCTTTGAGAAGAAGGATACTGATGGAATGAAACTTGCGGAGAGACGAAAGAGGTTAGGAGCCGAGACGGAAGGGAGACAAGCTCACAAGCTTTCTCAAAGAGTAGAAGAAGAAGAAGTAGTGGACAAAGCTCTCAAGCTTTTCCAAGAAAAACCTTCAGTTTTTCCATTCCAAAAATAACATTTTCACTTACCTCTAAACATACAAATCAGCCCCTATGTATAGGCAAGAAAGGGGAGTTAAACAACCACTATATTAGGGAATATGGAAGACCAAAAGACACTACTAACAGCCCCCCAAAAACTTCACAGAAATCAGCAAAACAGCACTTAAAATCTGCATAGGAAATAAGGTAAAACAACTGCTGGAAGACTGAATTATTAGATTTGATGCTTATTTTGCTAACTATAAAGCTTCAAGTTGGGTTTTACATAACATGGTATTACATGCACTTAGATTAGTTGTAATATTTTGTGATTTTATTCAATGCAAGGAATCTGCTTAAAGTTTACCCATATGTAGCAGGTCCTTGCTGAATGGGTTTATTTTCTGGCAATAATCCTGATAGTTGTGCTGCTTTTCTGCATTTCAGCTAAAAGGTAATTCATGCAAAAGAAAGTGATTCTTAGTGGTGCGATCTATTTACTATACGACAACAAAAAACAATGTGTTTGGATTCTGTTGGAAATTAACTAATATTTAACAGATCATGTTTAGGCCAAGCTTTTCTACTCTTAATACTGAAATGGGACCACATCATTTATCGTCTTCTAAGATGAGTATTTTATCATATCGTGTTTTCATGGTATGTTCATTCTTTTCAATGTTTTAAATTTTTTTTTTTTTTAATCTTTTGGTTTTGCTAAGCTGTTTTGAATGTGCTGTAGGTGTTGGTAACATGCATATGCATTCTGGCCGTGGACTTCAAAATTTTTCCTAGACGCTATGCCAAGACTGAAACCTATGGCACTGGCTTGGTAAGCTCTCTCCTTTAATTGAGTTCTTCCTGAAAGATTTGCCTTTGGTGGCCATGACAACAGAAAATGGTTTTTGTTTTTCTGGTACTGAATGAAAGTTTTAACGAACTGCTAAATGTTTTACATAAATGTAGGAAATCGATTTAACTTCTATTTTAGCCTGTTCAATTTCTTTTCTTTTTTAATCTGATATGATGGTTCTGAAATGGATGGCTGCCATCATTTGTCATATCAAAGTACAACTAGGTTTCAATTGCATGAGCATTGTAATTGATGTTCCAACTTTTTTGTAAATTAAGCAGGCCTTTGTGCTTGATTATCAGGCATGTGCGTACTTTGTTATGGCAACTATAGAACATTCTTTCTTCTTGAGCTCCTTTTAAATTGCAATAATACCTTGAACACGATCTATAATGGTTTGGCCTGCCTTTGGTCAAACAATTCAGTCTGCCTGTTCCAACGTATCGGGAGCATAACGAAGATAACTATGGTCAAAAACCAAGATTTTCAAATTCAGTTTCTGTTTCATTTTTTGTCCTTTTCAGAATGTTCCAGCAATGGTGGTTTCGATAATTTATAAATTTTGGTGTAGAGTTTTAGTTAGTTTTTTTATTACAAGTTAAAAAAAAAAACTTATTAGAAGGGAGAGACTTGAAAATGATTATATCTTTATTTCGTATGATAAGAATTAATCATTCATTTTCCTTCCTACCGTTAAAGGAGTGATAATTTTGGGAAGAAATTTCTGTGGACGATAAGAATGATCGAGAAGAAAAGAGAAGAAGGTTTGTTGAAATTCTCTTATAAATTTCGTCGATTTCTTCACTTAAACGCGAATGATATTTTCACAAAGGATAAGGAAGAGATTTGAAGAATTCGGGAAAGAAAGGAGAAGGATTTTGAGTTCGAATAATCATCTTTTTATAAGTGATTTTATTATCATATGTCTTCTGTTAAATTTTGTAGAATAAATCCTTAAATTTTATTTTATGGTAATTTTAGAAGGAAAGAAAGAAATCAAGTGGTATAAGTTGGGTTCTTCAAGGAATTCAATAAGGATAAAATTTTGAGACTGAGGTTGAGACAAAGATCGACGAACTGAAAGATCAAAGTGTGTAAATTATGTTATTTTATGATTTTATTCATGTTTGTAATCTTCTAAGTAATTGATTAATTTTTGTATTATAAAATGTTGAAGGTATAAATATCTTATGATTTTATAGTAATAAGAACAAATTCATCTGCTATAAAGGTTTGAAAGTTTATGAAAATGAAAGGTAATATTTATAGAGATACATGTAAGATATGCTATATGCAATTGTAACAATAAGGATGGCAATGAGAATTTAAAAGGGAAAATAAAAAAGAAAAAGGGAAGCAAAAAGTTATATATGTATGGAAATAAAATAAATGTAATATAACAAGAAAAATGTATTGAAAATCTACAGGAGTTCACCCCCTTATGGTACTGGCTGGGGACGCCGTACTCGTGCACATAAAAAAGGAAAAGGTAATGAAAATGGAAAAAGGAAAAAATGAAAAAGATTGTACCTTTGGGTACATTGAGACAGTGCTCCTATATGAATTAAATGGGAAAAGGAAATGTTAAAGTTTTAAAATGCTTTAAGATGTTTAAAAGGAAAATGATCGGATTTGTATAAATTACTGAAATAAAGTTAAGAAATGATTGGATGCATATTAAAGATTATAATAGTATTGTAAATAAGAATATTCATATTAATTGTTCTAATAGTTATCCACTAAGTTTACTTCGTATGCTCATTCCATTAACTAATATTTTCAGATAAAATTTCAAGTTCTTGGAATGGCTGATAGGGAAGAATATGTTTATAGAAGACGACGCGCAAATAACAACAGGTAAAACGATTGATGAAAATGACTAGTTTTGACATTGATTGATTTATAGTTTTCTTTGTTGTTAGTGGCTCTTAAGTTTGTTCAAAAGTTTATGTTAATATGGTTTTTTTGAAAATTGGGATGAAATTATAATACCGTCCGACTTTCAGTTCCCGCCTCGTTAAATCGAGTATCTGGGCTGGGTCGTGACATATATATGCCTATTTATAGACAAGAAAGTAGAATAATCAAGAGGAAATTATCCTCGATAATGTGAAAGTGAGACAATGATAAATAATATAGATTCTTACTATAAATAAGTTAGCACATATGATAATTTTAAGATAGTAACCCTCTGTAAATCTAAGGTGGCTTAGAAGAGGTAAACTTGAGTTTGGAAACACTAGCTATCATAGATGAAGTAGTTGAAGGTTTTGGTGACTATAAGTTGTGAGCGGCCAGGACGAGCATGACTAATTCATGAAATAGAGAGCATATCAGATCAATTGTTAAGAATCAGTCACAAGATCCATGTCAATGAAGGCTTAGATAATGTTTGTGAATGGAAGTGTTGTATTGATAGTGAGCATCAACATAGGTATCAATGAAATGCGTCAATGAAGAACGTTGATTGAGAGTGGTGACGGATATATAGCCTACGAAAGACAAAATTCACCAACTTAGTTATCACTGGACAATAAAGGAGATTGTAGAGCTGTATAGATATATGAAAAATAAAGAGGGATGCTAAGTGTCTTAGTGGTCTATGAGGATGTATGCAAGTTTATTGATGATGAAAAGGCTAGTAAAGTGGCTGGAGATGAGTACCAATCTTGATTACTCTATTGCCTTGCTAGAAGGGAGAGATTTGATCAGAACATCTTAATTGAATTGTCTTCTCACTAACGCTTGCACATATAGGAAATAAAAGAGATCAATCAAAGTAAAATATAATAAAGAAGAATATTTTCAATAATTATGAATATTATAATAAATGATAATGGATATTTCTACTATAAATAAGTTATGACGTGATAAATTAGCCTTATATATATATATATATATATATATATATCATTGTAAAAAAGCACTTTATGGTTTGCGTTCTATGTATTAGTTGACTTGAATGGTTGAGTTGTTTCAGATTGGCTACCATATTTTCATGGATGAAGATGCTATGCTTTGTTGGTTTCATGATTACGTGTACTTTAGATGCTGTGTGTAAGTCATTCAATCTGAGAAATGCATATTATATTAGTTGCTAACAGGATGTCAAGAATAACGTCAAATTTATGAAAAGATAGCCATTGTTGTGTTAGCGGCCTAACTTATGCTATATGGTAAGTAATCATTCATTGCTTATCAAATGCTATCTTCAATTGTTTTCCCCTCCTAATAAATTACAATTTATAACTAGAAAATGATATGAGCAGATCAGGAGCAATGCAAAAATTACTGGATAAAAAATGAAAAATATATAAGATAAAAATAACGATAGCATAAAAACCACTCATTTGGGCTACCTTGTTTGATTCTTTGTGAAATACGGGTGGAGGATAAATTTATTTCTTGTTTTGGACTCTTTTATAAATAGGACTTGAAATCTTCCATCCACCAAACCATCATCACTCAGACTGGCTCCCATCATAATCTAAAGATTGCTATGAATTATGATCATTGATGTCTTAACAAATAGAAAGGAGATGAGGAACTTCACGAATTGGAGGGTCTGTATCTGCAATATTGTTTATAGTTGATGTAGCTATCATATATATATAAGGCTAGCAATCAAGCACAATAGGTTCATAATCCATGCTATTGATTATTTTGATCTAGAGATCGTATCTGTAAGGTTAGCAGCCAGGCACAATGGGTTGAGAATCTAAAGAAAGTTCTATTAGTTTCAAATTTTGAGTGCATACCTAAATTGATGAAGGAGCAACACCCTTTGGGGAGAGGGGAGAATTTGAACATTTTAATTGACTTCTTGTGTCTAAATGTTTGATTTCCTCATATTCAGACGAACTATTTAGGACCAAAGATTTTGCAAAAGAGCTATAGGGGGAATACCTTGAAATTCTATCTTATGCCTACATCAATAAAGCGATGAGCTAATTCTCACAACTTGTTCTATTAGAGAAGTATTGCTTACTTCTATCGAAACTATGGCTATAGCTGGCTTGAAAGATGAGCAATAAAAGCATCTGCTTGCAAAGGTTTGCCAAATATAGACCCCAATGAGTAAAATGTGGATTGGTTAAAATAATGTAAATAGAACATACAAAAAACCATCCAAATAGGGATAGGTGGGTTCTCAAAAGCGTAAAAAATGGAGAAATCACTTTAGTATATGCATTAGATAACCACTTAGTATGTTTGTCAAGAGAAGAGTTTGATGTAATATGCTTCTGATGAAAGTCTTATAATAATACGATGAGAATCAATGAACCCAGGCAGGGGTGACCCATGGGAAATTTCCCTACAATAGCAAGCCTATAGATATCATCATTGAAGAAAATGTGTGCATTTTTGTAATGAATTGTAGAATCTTGCTTATGTAAAGGTGGAACTGGGTCTTGATGAGAATATAAATGGACATGGGTGGAAGGAGAGGTTGTGGTTCGAACTTGGCAAGCCACCCACGACATTTACTAAGGAATGAGAAGTACTGATAGTAGGAGGTCAATTTTTGAGACTATAGGAGTCACCAAAATACGTGGCGACAACAACGATCAAATATGGGGAACCATATTTGTGTGTACTTGAGCAATAAATGGTATTAAATACAACAACAACAACAACAACAACAAGCCTCTATCCCACTACGTGGGGTCGACTACATGAATCCTTTTTCTCCATTGTGTCCTATTAAAAGTCAAATTCTCGTTTAAATCTAATAAAGAAATGTCATTCATAATATTTTCTAACCAAGTCTTTTTAGGTCTAACCCTACCTTTCTTAACACAAGTCAAATCTAATACATCTACTCTCCTAACCGGATCATCGGAAGGCCGCCTTTTTATGTGACCAAACCATCTAAGGCGACTCTCTCTAATCTTAACTTCTACTGGAGCTACTCCAACCTTTTCACGTATATGTTCATTTCGTATCCTATCTCTAAGGGTAAAGCCACTCATCCACCTGAGCATGCTCATCTCTGCCACACTTAACTTAGTATTATGCTTTTCTTTTAATGGCCAACATTCGGCACCATAAAGCATTGCATGCCTCACTACCATCTTATAGAATTTTCTCTTAAGTTTGAGGGGTACATTTCTATCACATAACAAGCCCGATGCATTCCTCCACTTCAACCATCCCACTTGAATTCTGCTGATAATATCCCCATCTATTTCACCATCACTCTGAACAATAGATCCAAGATATCTAAAACGTGTACTCTTATTAATGACTTGATTGCCGAAAGTCACAATCCCCTCACTAGGTCTATTACTACTAAAATTACACTCCATATATTCCGTTTTAAATCTATGCTTTTTCTAAATCAGTAAATAACATATGTAGATCCTCCTTATTTTCTCTATATTTCTCCATCAAACCTCTTAATAAATGTATGGCTTCCATAGTCGACCTACCCGGCATGAATCCAATTTGATTTTGAGAAACATTAGTATCACGCCGCAACATATGCTCCATAACTCGCTCCCATAGTTTTAAAGTATGACACATTAACTTAATACCACTATAATTCATACAATCTTGTGCATCACCTTTTATTCTTAAAAATAGGAATTAACACACTCATTCTCCACTCATCTGACATCTTTTTAGTCTTCAAAATAGTATTAAAAAGTTTAGTAAGCCAAGAAATCCCTTCATCTCCTAAGCATTTCCACACCTCTATTGGAATATCATCAGGTCCAACAGCTTTTCCACCCTTCATTTTCTTTAAAGCCTCTCTAACTTCAGTTTTACGAATACGCAGATAAAAATAGAAATCTTTATTATCATCTAGGGTGCTAAGGTCACTATAGTCAATCTTATTTTCACAATCTTTATTAAAAAGTTTAGCAAAATATCTCATCCACCTTTGTTGAATATCATCTTCTAAGAAAAGACGAGGACTTGAGCGGTTCAAACCTTCGGCAAGGAATTGGGAAAGCCATCTTGAGGAGAGAGTGGTGGTTAGAGAAGAAAGATCACATGGATGTAATCCTAAATGGTTCAACAACACCCATAAGAAGTGGCTGTAACAATGATCACATCTAGTAGAAGCACAAGCATTCCCTACGCGTAGGCGTGATGTGAGACAATGTATGTGGAGTCCACATAGGATCAGAGGTCATGCAAGTGAGCTCGCAGGATCTGAGGGCACAAAGAATGCAAGCTCGAATGCTACGGGAGTGGTGACCCTTGAGAGCTAACACAACATGTGCACCCCATGCACAGGTTGTCACATCTTTACTCAGTATGACCCAAAAACAAAATATGTCATATCGTATTGAATGGTGACAGACCAAGTTCAAGATCCAAGTTTTAAAAACTTTTTAGATTTCCTTAATTTAAAATATATGACAGAGCTACTAAAGAACATCAAATACACAACATTTAAACTCATCCACAAATTTCTCTCTATTTCATTCATCTTCTATATATATATATTGAACAAAATCTATACACTACAATATATGACTATAGATTCAAAATAAAATATGATAGATAATAACCATGATTGTACAAAATAAAAAAACTAGAAAATATACCTAACCAAACTCAGAAGACCAAATTTTGAATCTTCAGCTACTCAACTAGCTCTTTCCCCTTGTCTAGGCCTGAAATATAATGCAGAATAGGTGTGAGCCAATACAACTTAGCAAGTCACACCTATCGATCTAAATTTTTGATATTTAACTCATTTTATATCTAAGTAAATTAAAAATAGTGTTTAACATATTATTGAACTGATCAGAGTAAAGCTAGCAAATAATAAAAGTTAAATAGGCTTTGTACTCAAAGAAAATAGACAAGTACTTCATATATCAGAGCATAAAGTAACAAATTTATCTCAGGCACTGATACCTCCCATAAAAAATAAATATAAGAATTGGAGCCCTTATGACTTTTTGTGCTAGGATATCAGAAAACAGATTCTTATGACTCCCAAAGGCTTAGCACATTAGATATTCAAAAATTTAGGCCCTTATGAGTCCTAGTGTATTCAACATATGAAGACTTCCTCCAACTTCAGAGCTCCACAAAATCACACATTTCAAGCAGATAAACACATATGATTGCATTGCAATAAGTCAAATGAAAATAATCGAAGTGCAAAATTAGGCAAAAGATTCAAAAATTGTGCAGAGATTTAAGTTTTTAGAATTTCACTAGATTATCAAGGATTGTGCAGAACTTCGCTTTGAAGCTTTAAATGTACTACAATACTATTTTTTGATATCTAAATTATTTTTTAATTTGCTAAAAATAGTGTACTTTTCAATTTACATAGTAAAAACTTTCTCGAAAAATACTTAAATGTTTAGAATGATCGTATCTACAACATACATGAAATTACACAGTGAAAGTTTAATGGATTTGAAGTTATCCCCATTTTTACCCTACGAAATTATAATTTAAATAAGAAAAACCCCAACATTTTTATATTTTGAAAACTGAAATAGGTAGAATGTAATCTATCTCGATCCTAACAACTTCCTAAACTTGACCGACATAAAAAAATGCACTGGAGTTGCCCGAAACGGACTTTCTCTCTCTAGGATACAGCTCAAAGGGGGAGAGGTGATTTTGACAAATAAGAAAATAAGTAGAAAATGATATTTTTTATCAAATTTTGATCCAACGCTGCGACGCTTCAAACAGTGGCGCTACTACGTTGATCTGTATCATAAATGACCTAAACCTGAGAGCTTGGCACCGCAGAGCCCCCAAATCTAGTGACACAATACTCCCAAGGAAAAAGTTCAGACTTTTTATTCATGCACATGCATACAAAACACTCAAAAACACATGCAAAGACTAATGCAGAAGTTTTAACACACATAACAAACTGGATCAGATCAAAACAGATGTAACTGAACATTGTTTCAGCTTATTACATAGGCGTGAGGCGAGGCAAGGGGTATGAAGCTTGAACAGTAGTTGAGGAAGTGTTGGCGAACTTACGATAGCTAAAACCTCGATGCTTTTAATAGTAGCTTCAAGTGTTGATTGTGGTATTGCCTTTTCTTTTAGGTTTCTTTAACCATGTTACAGTAAAATCGCCATCCTAAAATGCTATATTTACTTGTAATCTCAAAAAGAGATAATTGCTATGCATTTTATGCAGTAGTGGCTTGGCATATGCTTTATCTGAATAATTTGCTTCATAGATACCTTTAAATCTCAAAAAATTGCTTTTATTTTATTCTCGTGAAAGAGATCATTGTATTTAATGATGTGAACAAAATCAAAGCCTTTCCTTTAGTAGCTGCTAGAACTATGTCTTTTTGGCGTTCCCAGATGGATCTTGGCGTAGGATCATTTGTGGTGGCAAATTCTTTAGTGTCAAGACAGGCCAGGGGCATCATGTTTGTGTAAGTGACTTTTTAACTCTTGTATAATGCAAGATTTGTTTGTTGTCGAGAATTCTCTAAATGAAAAAGCTTACTACTATTATTCCATTTCGTTTGCTTAGCATTCTCATATACCAGTTGCTTTGCTTTCACATAGAAGGAAATGAGGAAATTATATTTCATTTGAATCATGGTCGTTTTTCTGCAATCAAGTTGAGCTCTTTCATGTTTTTAGCTATTTTATCCACGTCTTGTTACACAACTAACTTTTAAAGGAACTAGTTTTACTGAAAAATTTGCTTGAATTCATTTTAACAGAAGAATGTACTACGAAATATCTGTACAATGATGCAATTTTGTAAATTAGGCTATGAATAAACCTTATTTTTATTGTATGATCTGCTGAATGAGTAATTGATGAAGCTTGCATTGGAATTTGTTACTTGTTGGTAACGAGGACTGGCAACAAATGAATGAGACAACTGTTTATACAATTGAGTGATTTAATAAATGAATTTTACTGCTGTTATTGCATTCATTTGCTTAGCATTCTCATATACAAAGTGATTTGCTTTGTTATATACTAAAAAATAAGGTAATCATATTTTAATTGAATAATGGTTGCAATTCTGCAATCAAGTTGGACTCTTAAATTTTGGTTTTTATTTGATCCACATCTTCTTAAACAAACTTTTGAAGGAACAAATTTCTTTGACAAAATCTGCATAAATTCATGGCAACAGAAGATTGTACTCCCAAATATTTGTATAATGGAGTAATTAGTAAATTTGATACTTTTATAGCACGATAGGCTGGAATGTGAGTAATTGAGGAAACTTGAATTGGCATGTGCTAGTTGTGGGTGATGACAACTAACAAGTAAAAACAAATGAATAAGATAAATATTTGTAGAATGGAGTAGTGTAGTAATTGAAGATTACTACCAGTATTTATTTTGTTTGCTTAGCATTCTCATATACAAGGAAATGAGGAAATCAGAGTTTAATTGAATCATTCAGATTGAACTCTTTCATATTTGTAGTTAATTATCCTAATAATCTTTTAACACAAACAACTTTTGAAGTAACTAATTTCACTGAAAAAATCTGCATGAATTCATGGTAACAACGTCAAAATATTTGTACAGTGGACTAATTTAGTAAATCAGACCATGGATAAACCTTATTTACTTTATAGTATGATCCGCTGGAATGAGTAACTGAGAAAGCTTGCACTGGCATGTGTAAGTTGTTGATGGTAAGGACTAACAGCAAATGAATAAGACATTGGCCGAAGCATGGATGATCATGTTAAACCTAATTTATTTTCATTTATCTTGGTAAAGTTCACTAAATATAAAACTGTGGTTCTGCATGGCATCTTAATTTTTTCTTCTAGTTTTTTCTATGCGTCCTATTTAGTTTTTTCTTCTAGATTCTCTGGTATTTTTTCCCTGTTTAGCTACTCGTTTTTTTTTCCCGAGGAAAAAGAAGCTGCTGCATCTTTAAAATTTTTCTTTGTTAGAAGTCATCATATGTCCATTATTATTTCTGTTCAATGACCTCTTTTTAAAATAAAGTGGTACCTTTTTTATATATTAACAAAAATTATTTATTCTTTTTGTAATTGTTTCTGTACATTTAAGCCACTTTTTGGTATGATTAGAAACTGAACTTTACTATACCGTTGAAAATATTTCCATCAGTGAGTTTCTCTTATTTTAATCATCACTTGTAATAGCATTATAATAATCCTAAAATTTGAAAATTCTCAGTAATATACTTATTTTTTTCTATGTTGTTGTGAATCTAATTTCTCATTTTCTTTTTAGAAACTGGAAGGTAGCTCTTCAGTCTGTAAGTCCATTAGTATTGCTTGGTGCTGGTCGTCTTATTTTCACAGCAGGTGTAGATTATCAGGTGAATTTTTTTCTTATAGTTTAGTTAACCGTTTATTTTTAACCTGTTTTGCTGTTTTGCTATTTAACATTATAATTGAATCTGAAGTCACTAATTGTTTTGAATGACTTTTTGCATCCATACTTATTTTGCAAAGCTTTATTGCATTAGTTGCATGTCCTAAGCACAGGCAGACATGTCTCATGGATTCGTGTTTTTATTTGGCAGGTGCATGTGGGGGAATATGGTGTTCATTGGAATTTTTTTTTCACACTAGCAGCAATATCTTTATTAACTTCCATATTCCATATCCATCCAAAATATTGTGGAATATTTGGCTTGGTTATTCTCATAGGTATTTTTTTACATTTGAGAACCATCTATTCCAATGATAAGAGTTAAGTGATATTGATAGTCACATGAAATTTCTTCTTGTTTACAGCTTATCAAATGAGCCTGAAATATGGGTTGAGTAATTTTTTGCTGTCCAGTGAAAGGGCTTCGGATATCATTAGCCAAAATAAAGAAGGCCTTTTCAGTATATTTGGTGAGGATCACTTGTAAAGTAATATGGTCTTTGAAATTTAAACCCTTACCTTGTTCTTTTCTTGTTTATTAATGGCATGCTTTGTGCATTAATAGGTAAATTGTAGAAAGCTTTCTCAGCAATGATTTCTTAATTTTACCATAATAATATCAACTTTTGTTTATATAGCAGCTGGATTTTGTAGTGTCACGTTATAAGAGATAAGTAATTCGCTCTGCTCCACACTCTTCTTCCATTCACTACCATTCTCTGATTTCTGCATCTGAACCATTGTTTTGTAACCAACTACTTTACAAGGCGTATGCAAATACCCATGCATCCTGTAGTATACGATACTTCTTCATAAAAACTGCAATATGAAGTTGTAGTGCTTCTTCTTTGTTTCAGTTTCTTTCTATTGTTGTAGCTAAGGATTTCTACATGGTTGGCTTATGCTGTACCTGGATGCAACCTTTTTTTTTTTTTTTTCTGCTTCTACTGTAGCTAAGATAGCATGGTTACTTTGGCAGATTCCTTCTCTACTCTTTCTCCAAACCCTCCTCTAACCATGAGTGAAACGCCCATTCTTCTCAACTTAAATTCTTTATGGCAAACATTAAATCTGTGCTTAATGTCCCATTAACTACAGATAGATATCCCCATTTGGCACAGTCAGGTACTCAAATTATTTAGTGTTAATGCTTTTGCTGGTTATCTTGATGGCACTATTCTCAAACCATCTCCACAGCAACTTCAAGCTGATGGCTCCCTCTCTATTAATGCTTTTTTTTCACACATGGATGTTAATAAATCAAAACCTTGCTGCTGCTCTATAATCCTTATTTTCTACCTCTTTGCTTCCATATGTCCTTAATCTTGCTTCCTACAAGGACATATGGATCACACTTGAACGTTGCTTGCAATCTACCAATCTCTCTCGCATTCTTCAATTGAAAAATGAACTCCATCAATTACAGATACGTGATCTCTCTGAGATTAAGCAAAAGGTAGATGCCATTACTGCTGCTGGGTCGTCTGTTGATCCTGAAGACGTCATACTCTATACTGTTAATGGTCTACTTTCCTCTTATAATGCCTTTAAAACGGCTATTTATACAAAGCTGCGTCCGATCTGTTTGGACGACTTTATGCACTGTTGTGTAGTGAGGAGCTTAACATTGATGCTGATCAAGCCTCTGACAAGACTTCTAACCCCGCCACACATTCATCATTTGCCCTTGCGGCATTTCGCAATTGCTCTCATGGAAGGGCACCGCTTGCTTTGTCTCGACGAGGTCACCCTCCTTTCTCATTTCGGGGTGGACATTTTTCTTCACATCTAGCTCGCATAGGTCGCCGCTCGATTCCTTCCATACAATGTCAAACTGCTCCAAGCTTGGATGCTTTGCCACCACACTTCAACCACTCCTTGCAACTCCTGTGCTCGTGCAAAATGTCATCGCCTTCCATTTTCATTAGCTATTTCCCTGTGTTATCTTCCCAAAATTATAAGTATTATCTTCTTTTTATTGATGAATTTACAAAATTTTGTTGGGTGTATCCTTTAAAAGTAAAATAAGATGTTTACATACTTTTCTACAATTTAAATTATTTATGGAATGACAATTTCAATAGCCCATCAAAATGCTTCAATCTAATGGTGCTGGTGAGTTTGTAAACACTCATTTCAAAAATTGTTTGCAACATTTTGACATTCAACATTGGTTTAGCTGTCCTTACACCCACAACAAAATAGGATTGTTGTTCGTAAGCATCGTCATCTCTTGGAGATAATGCATGCTCTCTTATTTGAGGCCAATCTACTTCATCAACTCTTGGTAGACACCCTTCTTATTGCATCATACCTCATTAATCTTCTTCCCTCCAAATCCACTCATAATATCTCACAATATCAATGTCTATATCAGCAGCCTCCCTATTATACTTATTTAGAAGTATTTGGGTATCTCTGTTATCCATGGTTTCCTCCTCGTTTTCGCTACAAATTTGAACCTCTCTCAACTCCAGCCTCCCTATTATACTTATTTAGAAGTATTTGGGTATCTCTGTTATCATGGTTTCCTCCTCGTCTTCGCTACAAATTTGAACCTCTCTCAACTCCATGTGGTTTTTCTAGGTTATGTCAGTCACCATAAAGGATATAAATGCTTTGACTCGATAAGAAGTCACATTCATATATCTCGTCATGTCACCTTCTATGAATCTAGCTTTCCACACAAAGACAAACTTATTCCACCAATTTTTACACCCTTGCCTCATTATATTCCTCCTCTAATGTTGGTTCCTCACTCCGCTTCTTTTCCTACACCTACTATCATTCCATCTTCCTCAATGCCACCCGCCTCTACAACCTCTATAGCTCCAACTACAACCACTCGCCATCATATGGTCCACCCATCTGCGAACCGTCCATCTTAAACCAAAACAATTATTTGATCTTCAGCACCTCTTAGTACCTACTTCCCCTACATCTTTCTCTCAAGCTAATAAACATCCTATATGGTGCTTTGCTACGTCAGCAGAATTTAAAGCATTACAAAAGCAAGGCACCTGATCTCTTGTGCCTCAAACACCTGATTAAAATGTTCTTGATTGCAAATGACTTTTCAAAATGAAATACAACTCTGATGGTTCAATTGCTCGGCATAAAACTCGCTTGGTAGCTCAAGGTTTTAAACAAGATTATGGTCTTGATTACACTTCAACTTTCAGACCTGTTGCTAAATTTCCCACCATTCGGGTCTTCTTCACTGTGGCTATTGCTTATCGTTGGCAAATTTATCACCTGGATGTTTCTAATGCTTTCCTTCATGGTAAGCTTGATGACATTGTTTATATGAAGCAATCGACATGCTTTCAGGACTCTCAATTTTCTGATCATGTATGTTTACTCCACAAAGCCATCTACGGTCTCAAACAAGCTCTTCGTCAATGGTTCTCAACTTTCTCTTCGCATTTACTTAATTATGGCTTTACTACTAGTAATGCAGATCCTTCACTTCTATTTTATCATAAAGGTTCTATTAGGCTTTACTTGTTTATGTCGATGATATCTTGCTCACTGGCAATGACCCCACTGCACTTGAAAATCTCTTGCAAAATCTGCATTCCAACTTCATTATAAGGAATTTAGGACCGGTTTCCTATTTTCTCGGCATTCAAGTCTCCAAAATAGCTATAGGCCTTCACTTGAATCAAGCCTGCTACCTCACTGAACTTCTTAATAAAGCTGGAATGAAGGATAGTAAGCCTGTTCAAAGCCCATTACCATCCAAACAGCCAATTCTCACAGCAGATTCTGACTTATTTTCTCAACCAGAATTGCATCGACAACTTGTCGGATCTCTCCATTACTTTGATGATGTTATGTGTGAAATCTGATTGTATTGATTAATCTGGTTGGTCTGTTGTCTCGAATCTCAAAGCTTGTCTTGTTTGCTGGGGGTGCGGGGGGTTTATCCCCCTGTTTGGGTTCATGTGCTTTCACCTGAATTTTTTTTTTATACAACACTGCGGCACTGTGTACTTGAGCTCCCCAACGCTGTGTTCCCGTGCGCCCCAACGCTGTGTTCCCGTGCGCCCCAACGCTGTTTTCTCGTGCGCCCCAACGCTGAAAGGCAGAGAGCATAACACCACGACAGCTTAGATATGGCGCAGTAGTTGTGCAAGCAAAGGCTTGAGCGTTGCAACGCAGCGAGATGAACTAAATGGCTTCTTTCTCTTTTTTCTGAAGGGTTGTGTCCATTGGAGTTATTTACTTGGCTTTCTCTTTGTATTTTTTATTAGGGCAAGTTTTAGAATGATGCATGTGAGAAGAGAAGCAAGGAAAGAGAGAGAATAGAGATATGTAATTATTTCTCTCAATTTTCATAGTGAATTTCTTGGTGGGGTGTGACTCTGTGATTTATTTCCCTATTTTGAATTTTTTTACGTTAAATCATGGTACACTTTACTTTCCACTGCTTTTACTTTCTTGCTAGTTTTGTCATTGTGGTGTTAACTTCTCATTTTCCCCAACAGATGATTACCAATCCAGACATTTCCTTTGCAGTAAATCACTTAACCCAATATTTTATGCTCGTACCAAACATATTGAGATAGATTATCACTTTATTCGGGATTGTATCAAAGCAAAACATGTCACTGTTCATCATATTGCATCTCAAAACCAACATGCTGATATCTTTACCAAAGCTCTCTCTACTACTCGGTTTGTTCAATTTAGAGACAAGTTAACAATTCAAGAACGCATTGTTAACTTGAGGGGCGGTGGTAAGAGATAAGTAATTCTTGATAAGCTTTCAAAAAGTGTGGTTATAAAGTTCTGATGTAAGCAAAAAATCCGGGGGACCCTGATTTTTTGCTTAACGAAATAAAGACTCTACTGGGTAATAGAAGAGACACAAATAACACAAATAAAGACACAAATAATATCATTTTATAAAAAACTATTACAACTTGGACACTTACAAACTTGACTCAAACAAGACACCCTAAACTTGCTTCACTTTGAGAAGATGGATACAGATGGAGTGGCACTTGCGGAGAGACGAACGAGGTTAAAAGCCAAGACGAAGGTTGGAAAGAGCTCGCAAGATTTCCGGAGGGGATGAGAAAGAAGGTGGACAAAGCTCGCAAGCTTTTCCAATGAAACCCGCAGGTTTACATTTACAAAAATCACATAATATAACTTAACTTTAAAACATTACAAAACCTCTCATATATATAGGTATGAGAAGGGAATACAAACAGCCACAAACATCAATTAAAAGCTTATTAAATAAAGGAAATGAAAAGCCAACAGTCAATTCCCGAAAATGAAGCACCAAAGCCACGGAAAAGCCCCCCCAACTTCATGGAAAACAACCCAGCCAGGGAACCGAAGAAGCATCCACGGGAACCGAAGAAGCAGCCGCAAGAACCAAGGAGGCCCGCATGGAACCGAGGCATCAAGGCACGGGAAAGGCCACCCAGCACCGGAAATCGAAGAGGCAACCGCA